CTTCTGGCCGCCTGCGAGCAGCGACTCCGCGAGGCGGTCCGCGCGGGAGGGCGGCTGCTTCACCTCCAGGGCGCACTCCTTGCGGGGGGGCTCTTGGTGCTCGGCCAGGTGCCGCAGTCCGCGTGGGTGCTGGACCAGTTCGGCATGGCTGAGGAGAGCCTCCCCGTCACTGGGTGAAGGCCCGAGGCGAGGTTTCCACGCATGCCGCGTCCCGTGCCCCCTTGGAGAGGTAGGGTTCAGACGCGTCCAGCGCGCCCGATGTTGTGTGGTCATGGACTGCTCAGCTGTAGGCCCGTCCCAAACGACCTCCTCCATTCCTTTTCCTCATAGCTAACTTCTCTCTGTCGCACCACGAGGCCAGTTTTTAGGGCGGGCCCGGCGTTTCGCCTGAGATTTCCTCACCATGTAGGACTCTGAATAAAAAGTGGCAACAGCTTCACAGCTGGAGGGCACTTCCTCACCATGTAGGACTCGGAATAAAAAGTGGCAACAGTTTCACAGATAGAGGGCGGGTCGTTTTCAAAATGTGGCTCTCGCCTTAGCGACGCGCACAGTCGCTTGAAAAATAAAAGATGTTCACGGAATGAGGGCAGGTCGTTTTCAAAATGCGGTTCTTGCCTTAGCGCGGCACACATTCGTTTTAAAAAAATGCGGAGGGGTCACGGATTGAAGGCGGGTCGTTTTCAAAATGAGGTTCTCGCCTTAGCGCCGCGCACATTCGTTTTAATAATTTGCAAGAGCTTCACGGATTGAGGGCGGGTGGTTTTCAAAATGTGGCTCTCGCCTTAACGTCGCGCAGATTCGCCTCTAGAAATTGCAAGAGTTTCACAGGTTGAGGGCGGTTCCTTTCCAACATGTGGCTCTCGCCGTAGTGCCACGCACATTCGCCTTACAAGTTTGAAAGAGTTTCACCAATTCCCATGATCAACGTACCAGAAATGGTGTTTCAGGAGGATTTAAGATTACGCGGGCGCAGCAGTTATGCTGATTCGCAGTGTTGAAGTCCCCATAGCGGCGTTCTGGCACGATTCCGGATCGTCAAGACGCAGCAGTCAGGTTGATCTGCGGCGTTGAATTCCCTAGAACATTGTTTTGGCATGCTTCAGGATCTTCAAACGGCTGTCTTCCAACGAGGCAGTGCCCTCTATGGAAATGAACCGTCGTAGGGGCCTATGGAGAGGGAGCTTGGAGGGAGGGTAAATTCCAACATCGTTGATGACTCTTGGGTTTACACTGGTCCTCCTCCTCCTCCTTCTCCTTCTCCTCCTCCTCCTCCTCCTCCTCCTCCTCCTCATCATCATCATCATCATCATCATCATCATCATCATCATCATCATCATCATCAGCATCAGCATCAGCATCAGCATCAGCATCAGCATCAGCATCAGCATCAGCATCAGCATCATCAGCATCAGCATCAGCATCAGCATCAGCATCATCAGCATCATCAGCATCATCATCATCATCATCATCATCATCATCATCATCATCACCACCACCATCATCATCATCATCATCATCATCATCATCATCAGCAGCATCCTCTTTCTTCTTCTCCTCCTTCACCTCCAGGGCGCACTCCTGCTCGCTGTGAGCGAGCGAGAGCTTCAAGCGCGGCCAGGAAGGCCCGAAAAGGCCAAAATCATGGACTCCCCATGGGTTTTGAAGGATTGTGGCATTTGCATTTTTGTCTGCCTTCCGACGGCCCGAGACGGCCCAAGTGCCCCCAAAAGATCGCCCAACAGGCCCAAGACACGGCCCCAAGAGGCCCCCAAGACGGCCAAAAAAGGTCTCCAAGACGCTCAAGATGGCCTCCAAGACGGCCCAAGAGCCCTCCAAGACGTCCTCCAAGAAGGCCCGAAAGGGTCAAAATGGTCTCCAGACGGCCAAGATGAGCATTGAAGATGCCCACGTGTTCCCCGAAGGCTTTCCAAACCGATTCGGGGAACACATGGTCCAATAGCTTGGCAGGTCTGGCCTCAACGTTCGGCCACATAGGCGCTTCCAAAAAGGCAGGGGGCGGCGGTGATTCGCTGTAGGCGTCTTCGATCCGCCGCCCCCTTTTGATTTATCAAAGGGGTGCCTGGCGTGCCGGACGATATGGCTTTTGGTTTGGTTCTTTTTCCAAAAGAACTCCCCCTGGGGCTTCGGCCTGTCCCGCCGGGGTCCCGGGAGATTCCCGAGAATCCATCCGTCAATGCCTTTGTTGCCCCAAGTTGGCCCAAGATGGCCACCAACACGGCCAAGATGGCCCAGGATGGCCTCCAAGATGCCTCCAAGACAGCCAAGAAGGCCTCAAAGACGTCTAAGACGGCTCCAAGGAGGAGGGAGGACAGCGACAACAACGACGCCGGACCCCAGGGACCCCGGAGGTATTTGGAGGCATCAAGCTCCCATGGCTCCCCCACAGAGACCGCTGGATCCACACACACACACACAAGAAAGCACCACAATAACCTCAGTCATCGATCGATCGATGACGACGCAACGGCCTCCCATCTTCGGAAGACTTCGGAAGTCCCGGAGGCTCCTGGAGGCCCCAGGAAGCCTCATGAGCACCCCGAAGGCACGAAAAGGGCCAACAACACCAAGTAAAATCTCGACCATCGATCGGTCGACCAATGAAGCAAATGACGACGACGGCGACGGCGGTAACGGCCGCGGCGGCGACGTGCTTCCTGGGCGGGCAGCAACAGAAACGAGGACGACGACGACACACGGGTTGCTGAGCCTATTCCAAACCAAGGGCCAACAAGACTGCCAGCAAGCCCGATCGACGTCACCGCCCTCCTCGCCGTCGATCCTGGTCCTCGCCCTCGTCCGCGCCGTCCTCGCGGTCGCAATACTGCATCCTCCACACATCGATCGACCGATCCTCGATCCTCGCCCTCGTCGTCGTTCGTTGCCCTCCATCCTCGGCCGACCGACCGATCGATCGACCGGCGGCGGAGGCGGGGCGATCCCCAGACAGGAGCTCGACGAGAGCCTGCAGCCGCTCGCCCCCCTGGCGGAAGCGCGGGCGGCTGCTCCCAGCCCGCCGCCTCGCTCCACCCCGTGCGGAGCTCCTCCCTCGGGTGCGGCATCCCGCCTCCCAGTTTCCCCCAGCCATCATCACTCTCCTCCTCCTCCTCCTCCTCCTCCTCCTCCTCCTCCTCCTCCTCCTCCTCCCTCCTCCTCCCTCCTCCTCCTCCTCCTCCTCCTCCTCCCTCCTCCTCCTCCTCCTCCTCCTCCTCCTCCATCCATCATCCCTCCATCCATTCTCACTCTCCTCCTCCCTCCTCCTCCTCCTCCTCCTCCTCCTCCTCCTCCTCCTCCTCCTCCTCCTCCTGCTGCCTGCACCCTGCCTCGTGCCTGGTCCCACCCTCACCCTCCTCACCTCCTCAGGCAACGGGTCGGCTGCTGAGCAAACGCCTGACGCATGTCACTACGTGCACAACTAGTCTGCTCGACAACATGTAGGCTCAGACGGAGTCGAATGAGGGCAACGTGCCAAAGCATTTGGATATTCCTCTCATAGTATTCCAGTATCGTCCCTGCCCGTCCACCACCGAAACCCCCTGGCCCGTTGAGGCGTGCCAGCATGCCAAGCACTCTCTGCTAGGGGTTGTGTAATCTTCAAGGGACCATCGCTCCCCTCTCGCGCGCGTCGCCCCCCCTCCCCGAGGCGCTGTCGACGCCCGGACGCGTCCCTGGCGCTTCCCGAGGAGTCGAAGACGACCCAGATGGCGTTCAAGATGGCCCAGGCAGGCCACCAAGGCCGCCAAGACAGCCCACGATGTCTCCAAGAAGGCCCAAGATGGCCTCAGGACTGCCCAAGAGGCTTTCAAGAAGGCCCAACAGGGCTCCAAGAGAGCCTCCAGCGGGGCCCGCAGACGCCAAAACCATGGATTATCCGCAGGTGTGTTCAGGTGTTTGGCTTCTCGCCTTTTCGGGCTTCCGTCGACTCAAAATGGCCCAAGAGGCCTCCAAGATGGCCCCACGACGGCGCAACAGGGTCTCAAGGTGGCCCATGGTCACCAAGATGGCCCCGAGGCAGCCCAAGAGAGCCCCTGGTCGACCTAGGAGGGCCGAAGAGGGCCTCAAGCTGGCCCACCAAAGGGAGCCGAACCGACCTAAAATGACCCCTGGGCGGTGCAAGTCACGACGGCTCCAAGAGACGCCCCAGACGTCAACGAGGGACCCAAGAGAGCCCCAAGACGGCCTGAAAGGGCCCCAAGACGCCCCTGTGGGCCGTACGGGGCCCCCACAGGGCAGCACCACGACAGCCCAAATAATGCTCATGGGAGCCCATCGAGGGGTGCAGATGAAAAATGTCACATGTGACGGTTCACATCCGCCTCCTCCTCGTCCTCCTCCTCGTCCTCCTCCTCGTCCTCATTCTCCTCGTCCTCGTCCTCCGTGTCACCACAGTCAGATTAATCCTCCCCACCGCAGTCTTCGTCCTCGCCTTCATCATCACCGTGATCGTCATCAACGTCACCACCAATATCATGGTCATCATGATCATCATCAGCAGAAGCAGCTACAGCATCAGCATCAGCATCTGCATCTGCATCAGCATCAGCATGTGCATCATCATCGTCATCATCAGCATCATCAGCATCATAATCAGCATCAGTAGCATCATCATGAGCGGCAGCATCAGCATCATCGTCATCCTCAACATCATCATAACCAGCAGCAACATCAGCATCAGCATCAGCATCAGCATCACCAGCAGCATCAGCATCAGCATCAGCATCAGCATCGGCATTGGCATCGGCATCGTTGTCATCAGCATCAGCGCTGGCAGCAGCAGCAGCAGCATCCTCCGTCTCATCATCCTCCTCCTCCTCCCCATCGTCATCACCATCAGCGGCATCACCATCATCAACGCCATCAGCATAGTCAGCATACCCATCATCAGCAGCATCATCGTCATAACCAGCAGCATCATCGTCGCCACCATAAGCATCAGCATCATCAGCAGCATCAGCATCATCAGCAGCATCCGTATCAGCGTCAGCGCCAGAATAATCAGAATCGTCATCATCAGCAGCAGCAGCATCAGCATCACCAGCATCAGCATCATCATCAGC